TGGTCCCAGCTACTTGGGAGGCAGAGGCAGGAGACTCGCTTGAGCCCAGGAGTTGGAGGTTGCTGTGAGCTGTGATGCCATGGCACTCTACCCAGGCGACGGCTTGAGGCTCCATCTCAAAAAAAAAAAAAAAAGAAGAAGAAGAAGAAGAAAAATAAATAACATAAAATAAAATAAAAAGATTCAAGTCTGCCACCATCTTTTACCAGCAAATTAATAAACTTCTCTTTCTTTTTGTCAAGTTGCATGTCATTATTCTTCATTCTGCTATGCTGCTGGGACAAGCACAGAAACCTGATAACAAAGCTTTTTTCAAGATCCGACAATCTAGTTCATGAACTTGCCATCATGCCCTTACACTGGCAGCACTACATGAACAACTCGGTCAGGTTTCATAACCTCAGTGTCTTACAACTGTGTTCATGTCAACGTGAGGCAGTGTCTTGCCAAGTGGCGTTCATTATTGTTTTGCATGTTTTGTGTGCCCTCGTGAGAATTTGGGAGCTTGAATTAGAGCAATGAAAAAACACTTGTAATTTTCCTGTTAAACTTAGCAAGAGTGGAAGTGAAATTGGGCACATGTTAGTCCAAGCTTATGAGCGTAATGCCATGAAGAAAATGGCAGTGGATAAATGGAGTAATCATTTTTCTGAGGGGAGAAAAAGCATCACTGATGAAGAGAGGTCAGGGCAGCCAATCATGAGAACTGACAGAAACAGTGCAAAAATTTGCTGAATTGTATGTCAAAATTATCAACAGACTGTGAGAAGCATCATTTGACCAAGTAAACATTAATAGAGAAAGAGAAAAATCTTAACTGAAAATCTTGGCCAGCAACTCATGGCTCTTGCATGATGACAATGCACCAGCTCACACAGCAGGGTCTGTGAGGAAGTTTTAGTCAGTAAATAAACATCTGAACTGCCACACCCTCCCTACTCACCTGATGGGGCCCACAATGACTTATTTTCTTTACCCAAAAATAAGGGAAATGTTGGAAGAAGACACTTGGATAACATCAGAGTCATCAAGGACAATACGACACCAGCTTTGATGGCCATTCCAGAAAAAGAGTTCCTAGGCACTGGTCAGTACATAGCTTCCAAGGGGAGTACTTTGAAGATGACCGTAGTGATATTCAGTAATGAGGTACGTAGCATTTTTTCTAGGATGAGTTTGTGAACTGCCAGACCTCATGTTTCAATTCACTTTTGTAATAGAAATAGTGACAATTGAATCATTACACATGACAAGTATAGGGTATATTTACATAATATTCATAAAGAAAAGTCTGGAAAGAAATAAGAGTTAAGCAAGAGTTAATAGTAAGAGGAAATCTCAAGACAAGTAAAAGTTAAGTGGTTAAAAAAAAAACCATCTACTTTTGAACTAGCAGGGAATGCAAAAGTGAGCCTCATGTGACCATACTAAACTTAAATGTATCTTGAGATGGATTATACGTATTTTCAACATAAATTTACTTCCTGATGATTAGTTATGTGATACCCATGGGATAACTTATCTGTCATTTTAATGCCTTGCTTACAGTAAGTAGCTCAATAAATGTTAGTGCGTATTAACACAACCATAAATTGCACAGCAAACATCTATAAAGCATTTATAGGTAATTTTAAAAAATAACCAAACAAATTCCCAGACAAGACAGAAAGCCTTCTATAATGAATTAAGGGATAAAAGTAAAAACAGAAACACAATTTATTAAATGAAGGTTATTTCCTTCTGTAGTCAAAGCTGTGCTACAGCAGATTACTGAAGCTCGTATGAGTGATTATCATAGGTTATTTCACAGATGAAAGAGAAAAAGATCCATACTATGGCAGAGACTTCTACTTGCCTGCTGACATCCAAATCTTCCCTTCCTCCTGTGTAACACAAAGCCCAATTTTATTGAGGGCAGCCATACATCCAGCTACGTTTCCTTGCTTTCTTATAACTTGAGTGTTGGTTCAGGAAGCCTCCTTACCTTCTTTGCCTGTACCTTGCTGCCTGGGACTTGGCCGTGATGGCTACAGTTCTGACAGCTATTTTGGACTGTGAGAACCACGCAACAGCTTAGGAATAGCAGATCAAACAAAAGAAAGCAGTTTAGGTCTCTGATTTCATGAAACCACTATACCTACCCTAGATCATCTATTTCAAGTATGATTTTATGTAAGAAAACAAATATTGTGTTTAAGCCACCATCTTTTTGCCTTTTCCTTTTTTGTGTTTTGTTAGTGGTAATAGTGGTGGTGGGCTTTTAGGAACCAAATGCGAATTTTAACTGAGCACTTACCTTCAGACCAGTAAATAAGTTTTATCTCCTTTGTACAGATGAAGTAACTGAGATCCACAGAGGTTAAGAGAACTTGCACAATATCAAATTGGCAAAGAGGTGAGTTTTGGTTCCTAGCCCAATGTTCTTCACAAAAAACTGACTCCCAACAGATTCTAAAGGGGAAGGGGGGAGAAAGAAGTAAAAGACACATTAAATATAAACATAAATTTAGCCTTATTATAGTGTTAAACGGCATAAGACAGTGTATCCATTTGTCACATACTATGAAAAGAAAAAATATCAAATTTTTATGATGTGGAAAGAGACTAAATTATACCATATTCCTATGGGGAGGACAGGGAGAATACATGAAATAAACAGAATCAAAGACTAGAATAAACAAAGTACTGATTTATTTTGCTCAAGTTTTACCACATTGCTCTCTTCTTCAATAAGAGGAATTCAGACTGATAGTTTATTTTTCTCAGTAAGAAGACTTAAAGATAGAAGGTAATTTTTCCTGTTAAATTACAAGGATGGTCGGTCTTTACGGTGAAATAATAGAAAAATTATTAACTCAGAGTTTGTCAATATGGACTAAAATCTCTCTGCCTCCTTTCCTTCTCTTGCTAGCAGCTCCTCCCCCATCCCTGTGGATTTTTCACAAACTACTGAAGAGCTCAGCAGACCAAAAGGAAATGTAAATTCTTCTCTTTACAGTCACCACCAACTCCTTTGTCTTTAGAATTTGTTCCTTTAAGCCTCAAGTAGTTTCTGAAAGTCCAGTACCAACAATGGGATATGTCGTCCTCCTTCCGGAGAGGAAAAGCAGATGGGCCAGTTTTCGTAATACCTTGTAAATTTGGTTGCAGTTACTTTTTTGGTCCCCCTTAAATTTAGCTGGTCCCTTGGCCTCAGGGGCTGGCAGACTAATCTTCTTTCTTTGAGATGCCATGCTATTTCTCTCTCCTTTTCTCTTTCTTTCCCTCTAAAATATAAAACAAACTTGTTTTTCTTTTCTTTGTTTTTTTTTGGGGGGGGGTGGTAAGACAGAGTCTCACTCTGTTGCCCTGCATTGAGGATCATGGCATCATAGCTCATTGCAACCTAAAATTCTTGGGCTCAAGCGATCCTCTTGCCTCAGCTGCCCAAGTAACTGGCACTACAGGTGCCTGCCACAACACATAGCTAGTTTTTTACTATAGGTAGAAACCAGGTCTTGGCTGGGTGAGGTGGCTCATACCTGTAATCTCAGCACTCTGGGAGGCAGAGGCAGGAGGATCTCCTGAGCTCACCAGTTTGAGACCGGCTCTGAGCTAGACAGAGACCCCCATCTCTAAAAATAACGGGGTATTTTGGCAGATGCCTGTAGTCCCACCTACTTGAGAGGGTGAGGCAAGAGAATTGCTTGAGCCGAAGAGTTAGAGGTTGCTGTGAGCTATGATTCCATTGCAATCTACCGGGGGTAACAAAGTGAGACTCTGTCTCAAAAAAAGTAGAGACTGGGTCTTGCTCTTACTCAGGCTGGTCTTGAATTCCCAAGCTCAAGCAATCCACACACGTCAGCTTCCCAGAGTGCTAGGACTACAGACATGAGCCACCATGCCCAGCTATATAAACTTATACTTTTATATCCTAATCTTGGCCTAAAGAAATTCTTTTCTCGTCCTATGTGGAGCACCAATTCAGCTTTCCACCCTAACAAATATTTAACTAGAATATTTTTTTACTACCACTTTTTGAAAATTAATCTTGGTCCCAGACTGTCACTGAGATCAGCAATGAGAGGAAACATCTCAAATTCTTTTTTGAAACTCTACTACATAAACTAAAGTACCAGGCAGTGCAAATGCAAATTCGGTGGTGAACATAATCAATTATTTCTAAATAGTCTATCAATGAAATGAGCAAATATTTTTGAGTTTTAAGAACACACATTTCTTTTTTATGTAGTATATTTAACACAAAATCATATCTGCAGGACAGTGATCATGCACATGGGAAAGGTATAGATTTTTATTAACACAACATGGTAAAAAAATAAATGGCAGATTGAATCCTCTCTTTTCTCATTTATTTGCACGCTACTTGCCCCTCTCAGTCCTGATTTTCCTACCTATAAAACTGAACTAGGCTCGACGCCTATAGCTCAACCGGCTAAGGCGGACGTACACCTAAGGTGGCGGGTTCGAATCCCCAGCCCGGACCCGCCAAACAACAATGACGGCTGCAACCAAAAAATAGCCGGGCGCTGTGGCGGGCGCCTGTGGTCCCAGCTACTTGGGAGGCGGAGGCAGGAGACTCGCTTGAGCCCAGGAGCTGGAGG